GATGCGAAGCACCACATCGGCCATGCCTGAGCCTTTCGCTCTAAGGTGGCCGATGAGGGCGCCTGTTAATGTGCTACTCGAATTCCAATAAATCAAAGGAAACATGATTTTTATTCAAAAGTGACTTAAGGCTGAGGGTGGCGTTCAATCAATAACCCGTCAAAGGGTGAGGGCTTCGCCGGCTGCACCTCCTTCGGATTATTGATAAAATTTCACCAAATGGTGTACATTCCACGTTCGTGGTACATTGGTCCCGTTGGGGCGTTTAAGCTTGTAGGTGCCGGGTTTCACCACGACACTAACAATGTAGGGACCTTCATACTTTAAGGCTAGCTTGCCTCCTTCCGTCAGCTGACTTGCTTCCCTTCGGCGGAGGACGTAGTCCCCCACTTGGAATTCTCGGGAACGTACCTTGGCGTCATAGTATGATTTCACTTGACGCCGGTAGTTCTCTGCTCGGATGAATGCCTGTTCACGTCTTTCGTCGACCAGGTGGAGGTCGATTTTCATGTTTTCCTCGTTGACCTCTGGGTCATACTGCTCCACCCGTCGGCTGGGAATAGTGACTTCTGTGGGTGCCTTTGCTTCAAAGCCGTAGCATAGGGCGAAAGGTGTTTCACCCGTTGCCCTCCTTGGCGTAGTACGATAGCACCACAGGATGTTGGGGAGCTCGTCGGCCCAACTTCCTCCTGCGTCCTGTAGGTTCTTCTTCAGCCCCTCCATTATGGTTCTGTTGGCGTTCTCAACCTGCCCGTTGCCTTGAGGGTAGGCAACGGAGGAGAAACGATGCTTTATTCCCCATTCTCGAAGGAGCTCTTGGAAGGGCGCCGCTTCGAACTGGGTGCCATTGTCGGATATGATCTCTTGGGGGACACCAAAACGGGTGAGGATGTTCTTGTGGACGAATTTCTGACACCTGGCCCCCGTGATGCTGGCCAAAGGTTCCGCTTCGACCCACTTGGTGAAGTAGTCGACTGCGACGATGATGTAGCGGTTGTTGCCAGCAGCTCTGGGTAGAGGGCCGACCAGGGCTCCCTGGTATAGGATGAGGAGGGTGCGCTCATCGGCTAGAGAAAGAGAGAGAGAGAGAAGTGCAAGTAATGCTTCAATAGAATGATTTTGTAACCCCTATAACTACCTCCAGAGGAAGTATTTATAGGAAAAATACGGGCTGGGCTCCCAAGCCTTGGGCTTGGGAGGCCCATTTACAACTGGACCACTATTGGGCCGAATACAAATTAACTGATGTCTGATGGGCTATATAAATGAATAAGTGTAAAATCTAGTTCTGCGAGTCCTCCATGGCTGACGAGGTTCTGGCCGACGAGGGCACGGCCGATGAGGGCACGGCCGATGAGGACACCCTGGTTCCCTGGCTTCATGGGCATATTCTGAGTCGGTCCCTCTTCGGATGACGAGGGTCCTTTGGCTGACGAGGGCGCCGCATAGTGGCTTGTGCTTTCTGTTCTTCTGAGTATGTGGGTCCTGGGGCCTAGGCCCATATACTCCATCACTATTCACCGATTACACAGGATTCTTCCCGAACGGTACGTCGGAGTAGTGATAATACAATAACAAGAATGAGAAATCTATTCTGGGCTTCGAGTCTCAAAATGATAACCCTTTACTATGAGATTAGAGCCCCTATTTATACTAATAAAAAGGGGGTGGGGATGATGACGTGGCTGAATATGATTTGTTGCCATTCTCGAGCCACTTGGATGCCCATACTCCCACTTGCTGACGCCATACCCTAGCATTAAATGCCTTTTGCCACTTGTAAGCTACCCGTTCCCCGAACGAGGTGATGGTCCATGCTGACTACATGTTTGATCTGACCCAAATACCTTGGTAGATCCGATCCCTGTTCAGGCTAGTTGCTGGGTCTATTATTCTTTGGATCCTTGCTGACTAATGGGCCTGGTATATTGGACTTTTGACCCAATATCCCAACATACCCTTTACTCTTTGAGTAATTAGTAAAAGAAAGTGGGCGGCCTATTAACACCTAACTTCTCTACATGTTTTCGTAAATTAATTGTTAGGTGCCGACATGTGTAGCTCAACTTGTACATAAGGATGCCATAAGAGGTAAATCTCGTTTTCAAATCTCGACAATTACAATGAGAGATTATTGTGTAAAAAATGCACAAGCTAAGGCCTCTGAAAGAACCCGAGTCAGACCTCACTCGTTGTTATTCAGCTTCAAATTAAAGTTTAATTTACATTCTCTCAATTAATTGTCTTAAAGTAACTGTTCGGTCGGTGTTGTCGGTCTCAGAAATCGAGTGTCGTCTTTTAAAAATAAATAAATAAATGTTAGGTACCTAAATGTTGAGTAGCGTTCATGTCTAGCTAGCCTGACGGGAACCACCATCCGACCGAGGTCATTTGGTGCCCTTGTCGGTGGAATTTTTTGATAATTTTTTTTTTGAGCATGTTCTTTATCAAGTCTAGTTTATACCCACCAAATTTAAGCTAAAAATTCAACCGGAAAGTCAGTCAAAAGTGTAATTGAAAACACTATGATGTTTATGTTAGTATATATGTCCTAGCGACAATCACTTTTTAGAGAAATGTGTACTTGATCACATTCAGTTTTTTATATTTGATATATACACGGTATTACACTTTATGAATGATTGTTTTCGATTGTCAATGTTTTATTCATAATTGTGTTCCTTGGATTTATGTTGTCAATAAGTAAGTGGGAGCTTATATGATATAACATAAGGTCCTAAAATAGCCCCAATCAATGATCATCAAGAATGGGATATTGATGATATACGATAAGATTGGTATGTGGACACATCATACTTTTAGAAAGTATAGTTGATCTCACGACTATGAGTTCCTGTAATTCATGATGGTCACATAGATATTTTAGAGAATATTGGCATACCCACCGAGAAACCATTTGATAAGTTCTATTCATGTGTCTATGGGATTATCGGCGTATAGAGTAGTGTAATAGTCCTCCGACTTGAGGTCAATACGTACTACATGTGCGGAGTGATGTACTTTGACCATGACCAACGCTTGCACTCCAATCGGGGTAGATACGGCATGTGTTGGGTGCATCACGAAGCACATGGAGTAGTAGTTGAGCCAAGAAAGGATTCATTCCTCATAATAGATTAAGAGAGAACATTCTACTTCTCATATCTAGATGGATCATAAAGTCATTGGCCAATGCAAAGATATATTCGTTTTGGATATCGAATATGATCGTTATGGATCATCTAGAAAGATTGAGAGACAGAAACTGAGTTATTGGGATAGACACTATATCATGTTCTAGACTTAGTTGAATGTTCGCTGAATGAAAGGACCGTATCACTATGAACTCTATATTACAGGGAGTTTGAATAGTCCTCGCAAACGTCCTTATATGTTAAGTTTGTCTGGTAAATCGTCTGGGGATTCTACTAAGACCTTAATTTGATTAGTGCTTAATATACAAGGCCCTATGGGTCACACAACAAGTGATTATACCTTCCGATTGAATTGTTAGAAGGAATTAAATATTATTAATTGGATTAAATAATATTTAATTCATAATGCTGAAAATAAGATGAGTTAATTATTAATTAGATTAATATATTTAATTCATCATGTTGAAGGAAAGTTCTATTTGATAGAATTAATTAAGTTTGATAAATTAGATTTATTATACTTAATTAAGATGTAATTTTAATTAAATAGAGTTGATATTTTCTTTATAATTTAGAATTAAAGGAAAATTAGAATATAAATAATATTAGGAGAGGAAGGAGTGACGTGAGCCATCCTCCCCTCTAACAATCATTTATATTGATTTATTTATTTAATTAAGTACAATATTTATTGAGCCTAGTTGGACTAGAACTCATTAATGAGTAAGACTTTTATTGTGATTGGAAAACTAGTTTAGAACTAGTATAAATACACCATCCTCCTTCATAATTCAGAGACAAGTTTTCAGATTCAGTATTACCAGTTTATTTCCCTGCGAAGAGATTTCCTAGCCTTTCTCTTAGGGAGATCTAACTGTTCTTTCGGGAAGGAGAAATCATGTGGATACCAAAGGTCAAGGATTATCACCGCCAGGCTGGAAGATCTGTAAGTTCTAACTCAGATCTGTTATTATTATCATATTCGTTATTTTGTCATAATCAGGGAAGATCTGTTTGGGAAAATTTTAAACTTCCGTTGCCGTACTTTCGAGGTACGTTACATCAATTTCCTAACAGTTAATATATATATATATATATATATATTAAGCGCAATGTTCTTAAATAATTTATTTAACTGTTTTCCCAATTGAAATTTTAGCTGAAATTTGATTGATTTAAACTAGACTTGATGAAAAATATACTCCATCCATTTCAATTTGTTTGACACACTTTCATTTTTTGGATGCTTCAAAATGAATGTCACACTTCCTTGTTTCTTATTTGGCAAACAAATCTTTACCAAAACAGTGTCAAACATTGTCAAACAGTGTCAAAGAGTGTTCAAACAGTGTCAAACATTGTTCAAACAATTTCAAAACAATAAAATTTACCTCTCAATAAATTTTTTCCCTACAAGTAAAACTGTGTCAAACAAATCTAAATGGAAGGAGTAGTTAAAAAATCAATCATTCTTGATGTACACACCCTTGTACACACCTTATACACATCATGTTTGTGAAACTTTTTTTTGTCCGTGAACCCGGTTCACAGACAATATTTTGTTTGTGCAAAACATTGTCTGTGAATTGATGTTCACAGACAAAAAAAATAGCTTTCACGGACATACGTGTGTATAAAAGTGTGTATAAAAGTGTGTACAAACGTCATTTTTGTTAAAAAATTCATCAACAAATTTGACCGGATATCAACGCTACTACCTAAATGTTATCCATTTGATTTTAGGGAGTATAAAATACTCCAAGTACGTGTGTTTTTGACAATTTCAGGAGAGGATCGAGTAGTAAGTAATAAGAAGATAACGACAGGGGCAGAAGACTAAACGGGTCAATCCCCGCAACAAAATCCATAGTTTCTTACGCATTGTGTGACAGACAGACAGTGAAGAAACTTCCAACCGAAGATATACACCAATCCTATCCCTCCCTTCCTCCTCACTCTCTCTCTCTCTGTAATTTGCGAGCCAGGGAGAGAAAAGAAAAACGTCTGGTCTAGTGAGAGAGAAAAAAACGTATGCTTTAGTGAAAGTGGCCCCCTTCAGATCCCAAGAACGCCCCTTTCTTTTCCTCGTCCGGCCTTCTCCTTAAATAATACGGACTCGTAATCTGATAAAAATCTATGCCATTTTACTGCACCACCACACCGATAATCCCATACCCACACTCTCTCTGTGCCTCTCTGAGTGTGAATATTTCAGCAGCTGAGCTTCTTTCCGATCTGCAGTGGGATTTTCCGGTTCCTGCTGGGGGCTCAAGTCTGGGTCCTCGGTAATTTCTCAAATTCCTTCATTTTCTTCTTTCTCAGGATATACTTGAGTTTATTGAGTGTTTGAGCCACTATGCGTTCATGTATAAAGATTAGCTTGATATGTGCGTGCATTCTTGAGCAGAGATAGATTCTCTTCCCTCTAAATGACTGCTAGCTTTGTATGTCGGGGGATTTTCGTTCTCTTTTTGTTTTTGCTTTTTGCTCTCCTTCCCCTTTTCTCTCAGGTCCGTGAGAGCCATTTCATTTTTCTTGAGTGTTTGTTACACTTGAAAAGTGAGGCTTTTCCGACTTTTTTCTCCTTCTTTTCCCGTCAGAATATGCGGGTTTTTACTTTTTGAACACCCAGTGTTTTTGTTTTATTTATTTATTTTACCTTACTTCTTCATTTTTCTGGAAAAGATGATCTCTTTCTCAAGTTCTAGTAATTTTGGTGTATTTATCAGTCCAGAATTTCTAATTTTATCTCAATTTCCTGTTTTTGTTTGTTTGTGTAGATAACAGCTTGAATTTGGCCCTCCAAGTGTGGTCCTTGTTTTGAAGTCTAAATTCTCTACTGTGTGTTTTGGAGTAAGCTTGTGAGGAATGCCACTCGAGGTTAAGTCTGCATTGACATATGGCCTCAAAATCATGTTTCCTTTTACATGAGTGTTCTTTCATACCTTTTTACTAAACTTCTTATCGGAATAATGCTGACAAAAAAACCTCGATTGTTCTTTACACATTCATTAATAAGAATGAATCTTCAGTGGTTTAGATGCTAGATTAATATGGTAAGTTTGCAACTCCCCCGTGAAATTAGTTAATAAACTATAGTGAACTGTGAAGGACAATTATTATTATTATTATACAATGTCGCAATTGGAATAAACAATCTTGGACGAGAGAATTGAATCCTCTCACAGGTGGTTTTCAGGAAGTGTGAATAAATACCATATAAGCCTCACACTTGATCTTTCTTTCCGCTTATGTGCATATGTCCATTGTAAAGTGTTTAGTGATTTGTTCAAAAAGAGTAACTAAAAGTTTCTGTGTTTTTTTGGGGGGGATTTAGGAAGCAAGAGAAAAAATGCCGTTTGCAAATGACGCACCACCAGGAAGTTACTATCCAAGTGATCTTAATGGAGGCGTCTGTGGGTATTCATGGGTAGCAGCAGCAAACAATGATATCTCACGGAATAGTGGACCCCATTTCAGTGCTTCATTGCATCCGGCTCCCTTGAACCAGGATCTGGTTCCTACTACAAAGGAATTTTGTAGACAGACGATGTTACAGCAGGAGTCCATATTCAAACACCAGGCAACTCCATCCTTCTTGTAGATTCCACATTTGTATCTTTGGAGGAAATCAATTATAAACTTCGCTGGCATTTTATACAATATTATTTTATATATAGTAGCATTAGCAGCTTGCTCACTAGGGGCATAGCTCCCTTGTATGTAGAGATTTTCTTCTGCTTTTCATCTTACAAAGTTCTATTACTTCTGCCCCTTTTACTCGCAAATTATTTTTCTCTCCTTTAAGGCTATATGTTTTGATCCTGGAAAATGCTACAGAAAGTTCTTATCTTATTTTTTTGGAAAATGCACAGGATAATATAATGTGGTTCATATTTTTAGTTTTTAGCATGTGCTCAAACTGCATAGTATTTAAATAGTATATATGAATAACATGAATCGATATGAATTTATTTAGTTTGAATCAATATTTTATCTTCCTCAACTTTTTCTTTCCTTCGAAATTTCTTCTTCTCAGGTCTATGAACTTCACCGGGTTTACAAAAGGCAAAAGGAGTTGATGGAGGAAGCCAGAAAGAGAGAACGCTTTGAGCATAGTTTAAAACTATCTTTTGCATCAGAACCAGTGCCAGAAACCTCTATGAGCATGCACTGGCTTTCAAGGAATCTCTCGGGGGTTGGTCCCTCAATGCTAGCTTTTGGAGAACCTCCAAGGTTTATTACATCTTCTGGGGACGTAAAGCGGCCATCTAATGTCAATCATGCAACAAATTGTGAATTTGAAGCATGTGTACATATGTCATCACCCCAAAGAAACAAATGTGGGAAGAGAATGGTGTTGGACCTGGAACTTCAAGTGCCTAAGACTGTGATTACAGAGGTGCAGCAGCATGTAGATGAAGAGAAGCTTGAGTCCTCCTCTTACCATGGAAAAGGCTCTCCTTTTTCAAGTTGCAGAAAGATGGATGTCTTTTTCGACTTGAATGAGCCTCCTGCTGAGCTAGATGATGAACTAGAATTCCCAGCTTCCTCAAGTCAACAGGATCTCATGAATAGGAATGGAGATCCTTCTGAAAAGGAAAAATCAAATGCAGACTGTATCGGCTCAAGTAAAAAACCATCACCTGATATTACTGTTGGAGAAAGCCGTAGTGATTCTTGCATCATTAGTTCATCTTCTGAGAAAAATGCAGAAAATGGGCTGCTACCGTGCAACTCTCGTGCTGGTAGTGTGCTATTTGACATTTTTAAATGATATCCCATGCACCTGCATTTTGGCTTTTACATATCATCTCTGGATGAGCCTCCGCTGCTTTTCAAAATTATCACAAATGATATGGTTTGGGAAACAAGCGCTTCTGTTTCCCCAATTATCTGATATATGTAAACTGTGAACTCTTATATCTTTGTAAATTTAGTCTTTCAAGTGTTATGCTTTAGATACAATTAGTCCCTTCCTGGCTTCCTTTAAATGTTAAGACTTTATGAGGGGTATTCTCAGCATTTTATGTTGTTCAGAGTGCCCCATAAACCGTAACACTGAACAATAATGTTAACGGCATAGACTAGTTGCATAGCAATTACTTCGTATGCTTACTAATGACTTTACATTATATTTATAACCGGATCTTTATTTATTTATTATCTTGCCTTTTCAGTGAAACATGGAAGCCACTTGAAAACTTATGCCAAAGCTTCCTGTAGTTTGACACCAAGAAAGCCACAAAAAGAAAGGTCAATTTCTGATTTGGAAATGTCTGACAAGAATCAAGCTGTAGCCCGCACTGATGTTTCCCCTTCCGTTCAAGCACCTGAAGATAAAGAGAGAGAACGTTTCAAAGCTCCACTTAGCCCAGAGAACCGGGAGTCTTGTCCACCTAGAAATGATTCACCCGAGGCCCGATTGGACACATCGACTGGCTTATCAAATGATGACAGGCTTGCAGCTGATACACTGGTTTTGATTATGTCATCTCGGGTGGAACGACCTATTGGCTGCCTTGATTGGTTTGCTGGAATTGCATCCACTTTAGCGAAGGGATCAAAGTGGGTGAAACCGGAGGGGCGGGCCAAGGAGGGAGGGAGGAGAAGAGCTAAGAGTAGCAATCATGGGCAAGGGATGAAAAGTGCAAAAGGTTTGAAGCAGCAGCAGCAACCTGGTTGTAAGAAGAAGCACATGTGGTGTTTTAAAGAAGTGTGGGGAAGGAAAAAGAAGCGAACACCTCGATGCGCCATAAGAAGGATTGTCCCCCTCTCACCATAGTTAGTTCGTTAAAATAGTATAGCAAATATAGCTGATTCCCTGCCTCAAATGGCTATGTAACTAACTAGGTGAACGGTTCACTATTGGTGCTCAGATCGGTTTGTAGACAGAATAGATCACTGAAAGCTTCTTCGCTCCCAAATATTGTTGTAAAACTAGCTCTGCCTTGTGATGTGCATACATTGTGCAGGGGTTGTGCAGTAATAGTTCTTGTTTTATCATCTTGAAATTTTAGCCTTTTCATTTTAATTCCATTTTCGTAATAAATAAATAAACACTTCAGGTCAGACCTGAACATGGCCACAACGGCAGGGGTTTGGTGGGTTGACGGCTCTTTGGTGTGGAACAACTATACTTCTGGGGTCATATTATTTGGTAGTGCCCGGACCAGAGCTTGACCGGCGGTTGGAAAGGTATTATCGCGAATCTATGGCTGTGGTATAATGTTGGCCTTGGATAGTTGGATAATACGTAGTAATAGCTTTTGAAGATGTTTTTACTTGAATGTAATTATGCTCGTTTGATCTGTTTAAGTCTGCTTTGAACTGGTCTGATCTGGTAAATGTCCGATCTCTGTGTATTTTATAACTATGGAAATCTGGTTTGGTCTGAGCAGTTTAAGTCTGCTCTGGTTTGATCTGTTTAAATCTATTCTGGAACTGAAAACAATTCAAGTCTATTCTTAAACTACAAATACTACAAAATGCGGCGTGTAGGCAGCAAAGCGCTGGAAAACAAATGGGTCTGATGTTTGGTTTTTTATTTTCATTTACAAAAATTTGTCTGCTGTTACAATGTACGGAGTAATTTTTATGCTCCATTTTCTGTAGGTAACCGTTTATATAACGGCAAATGAAGCCCGCTATTGTATGGGGCCACCTTGAAAAATTGATGGAACAGCTCTACGGTGGGAGTCACGTCGACATCTTTACAACGGCAAATGAAGCCCGCTATTACCCGATAGGAGTTCGGCATAACTTGGGCCGGTACAATCTCGTAAAAGTTAAGGAAGGAAACGAAGAAGGGGTGTAGGGGAAACCTAAGCCCAGCTTTTACTAAGTCTAGATGGACCACCACCATCCCAGGAAGGTGGCGCATCGGATGAAGCCCAGCCCGAAGATGGAAATTAACTGGATCAGGGATTAGGGCTGGGATTTGGGCCCTATTATGAGAGGTCAATTTTTGCCTCCTTTCCCGAATTAGCCTCAAATCCACCTTGTGACGGGGAACGTCGCTCGGAAGGCCAGCCGCCATCATAACGAGTTCATCACCGGAGTTCGTGTCGTCGGAATCATCATCCGTAGAGGAGCCGACAGAAGAATCCTCCGCCTCCGCCCTAGTCTCCACCGTCGCTTCGTTTGAACCACCAGCAAAAGGGACATTTATGACATCCACAACGGCAACATCATGGTCAACCCCTTGGGAAGCCATTTCCGAATCAGAGGAACGCGATTGAGAACTCATACCGATAGACCGAAGAAAGGGGAGAAAATTAAGGGATGAAAAATACCTGAACACGAAAAACTTGAGGAATCTAAGGTTTAGAGAGAAGGCAGAGCTGAAGCACGAAGGATTGATAATTCGAAAACCCGGAACTAAAGAACTAAAGGCTAATTTATAGTCTGACAAACGCCGTATCGACGACCAACCAAATCATGTAATATCTAATAAAATAAATTAAATAGAAGTGTTTATACAAATTATCACTATAACTAATTATTATTCTTTTATTACTAAATAAATTAATTGGATTGTTATATAGCCAAAAGGGAATCTTCCCTCGGTCCCCATCGTTGAGGCCCAATTCGAGAAATATCAAAGGGACCTACAACGGACCGCTGATCGTGAAGCGGGGAGAGAGCCTGAACCCCCTACTGATTCGGATGAGGATGAAGGTGATGAAGAAGAAAACAAAGAGGCTTCTGGCCAGTAGATTTATACTTGAGAAAAGGGTCAAATAAAGCCTTCTACTATTATGAAATAGTCACATAAGGCCATGTACTCAAAAAAGTGTCATATAAGTACATCTACTTGTAAAAAGTAATCAAATGAGTCCTAATGACCTATTTAACACCTCTTAATCCCGGTTTCAACGTACTTCTGATCATCTTTTTAGAATACATTATACGACATATGTTGAATATTTAACTCAGATTGGTCGAAATACAAGTCAAAAAAATTGACATGTAAGCTAAAATCGGGATTAGGAGGGGTTAAATAAGCCGTTAGGACTCATTTGAATGCTTTATACAAGTAGATGTACTTATATGACACTTTATTGAGTAGATGACCTTATGTGACTATTTCATAATAGTAGAAGGCCTTATTTGACCCTTTTCTCTTTATACTTTCATACTTTAGTAATTGTAATCCCTTCCCCCCTTTTCCTTTTTTGCAAATCACCTTTGTACTTCCCGGCCGATAGAGCCGATGAATATATATGACATCTATTTTGCTCAATGCTTTTCTTATCGTCTTCGTTGTCTTTATTGATTTTTTGCTTTACCATTCGGGAATCGGTCCGCTTTATAGGACTTAGCAGTTTTCCTACTTTCTCAGTTTTGTTACCACCCTTGTATTGCCGTTCGGGGTCCCGTGAATTCATCAGGACTTGGCCCTTTGTTTTGTTATTAATCATTTGGATTGTCGTCCGGGCTCCCGACAATTCATCAGGACTTGACCCCTCTTTTGTGTTTACCGCCGTTTGGGCTTCAGATAGTTCTGTAGGACTTAGTCGTTTTCTGAATTTTTTTGTTTCTGGTCTTCTATATATCCCACATAACTATTAGTATAACCCTGTTCGGTTTGTTTGCTTCCCATATCTTCTGACTGTCGCCCGGATTCTGACTTTCACCATCCCGCTGATCTTTATCTGTTGTTCTTCAAATACTACCTGTTCGGACTATCTAAAGATACTTGTTCCAAATATACGACTTATGTCGACCTTGGTCTGGGATGTCCCTTAATACGTTCATCGCTCGGTGTCTTTAAGATGGCTTCCCCAAAACTGTTAACCCGTTCTTCATGAATTACCTATTAATCGTTCGGGGAACGTGCTAAATTACCATAAATGTGCCATAATTTCGCGCAACCACATTTTGTCACGTGTTCTTCATGGGTTAGGGTTTTGGGCGGCATCTTCGCTTATAAATAGAGGTGCTTCTTTTTCATTTTCTCTGTTGCTTCCTTAATTTCTTCTTGCGTCTCTCTAAGCTTTCTCTCTCTAGAATTCTCAGGCTTCCTTGAAATACTAAGTGCTCTTTTATGTTCTTCTCCTCTAGCTCAGAGTCTGAAGAAATGCCACTTATCCGTAGAGGAAAAACTCCCGCTGGTAACAAGGCCGGGGGCTCTTCTTCCCAAGTACCTAACTCTACCAATTCCCCAGTACAAAAAGATGTCGAACAACCTCTCGATGACGGATGTCTTTCGGGAGATGATGTTAAGATCTATAACAAGGGAATGCCCGAACAGCCACCTCGTATTCCTTTGCATTTTTCCCGCATTCGCAAACAAAAACAACGTCGTCCCGAGGATGCCGATCGACAACTTTGCCAGCTTTTACCTCCGCCCCAGGAGTTTTATGCCGGATTCATCAAGCATCCAATGAGGCACCGACCGGGGAACGTGCTTGTGCATCTTGATGCCTTGGTTCCTGGGCTTCGCTTCCCTCTGCATCCGTTCGTCGTGGAGTTCTTGCGCCGGGTCTCCGTACTTCCCGCTCAGTTCATACCCAGCACCTATCGCATACTGAACAGTTTCATCATCCGCTGTCACGAGCTGGGCATTGCTCCTAGTGTTGATCTGTTTTTATACCACTACTACTATCAGCCTTACTGGACCACCAGGTATCTGAAGTTGGTAGTCGGAGCTGACCGTCAGCTGTTCACAGATAACGTCATGCCGTCAGCAGATTGGGAAGAAAGGTTCCTCTTTGTCCGTGTGGGTGACTCACTCCCATTCCCTTTGATCTGACCGGTCCAGATAACGAGCTGAAGAAATCTGTCATTCCTCCTCAACCCAAGAATCCAATTCTCAATAACATACCGGTCGACGATCGGATGTTCATAGAATTTTTTAACACGGGACCTCGTGCAGAGGGACGATATTTGTTCGGGCAGATGCCATCTTCCATGTGGTGCAGCACATCCCTGAAGGTTCCCCCGAGCTTCTCCAATATAACCCATTGGTCAGATCTGGTTGAGGCAGGTCACCTGGAGGCTCTCAAGGTATAGATCCTCCAAAATTTCCTTTTGCTTATATATCCTTGGATGGATCTTATCTGATTTTGTTCGCTATTGTTGATAGGCCGGAGTATATTATCACCGGGCTTTCCTGGCCGCCGAGCAGGAGATGAAACGCATAGCCAATGATCGGGGTGATGGTGAGACGCTTCTATCTGCCGCCCGAAAACTGATCACTGATATGCAGGATCGCCTTAAAAAGGGTGAGAGGGTGATGGCCGAGCTGGCTGAGACGGAAGAGAGGATCCGGCGTCGTGATCGGGAAATTAAGGATCTCAGAGCCAAGGTGAAGGTGGCTGAATCCGCTGGGATGCGGTTTGATAAATCAGAGGGAGAAAATCCCCCCGAGCCTTATACTGCCAATACCTCCAAGATTACCCAACAAGCCTTGATAGAATATCAGCGGGGAAAAGGGCTGAATGTCGCTCTGGAAAATACCGCTCGACAGTTCTTGGGACCTCACCTTGGCTAGTTCCCGCGTGAGAGCGAGGACCCAATTAAGACAGGGATCGAGCTTTTAGATAGCACGCCCGAAGGGAAGTCTTTCTTGGATGTCCTGACGGAGAAGACTGTGAAACAAAGTCAAGTTCTGCTTCTAGACAGGAACCTTGATCTGATCTTGGAGCATTTCCCCAAACCATTCGATCCTGATGAGTTGGGGTTTGATGACATGTTCAGGAATACTTACGATCGGGTCATGAAGATGAGGCAGAAAGCAATCTCTGATGATACAGCACAAGCCGGCAGCTCTCAACCTCAATCTTCCCCGAACGGCAATCATCCATTAGAATAGCTTTTTTGTCTTTCTAACTTTATTCTTGATTTCTTTGTATCTTCCGGTCAGTAGTGCCGAAGAATAAAAATTTGATTCTCTCCACAATTGTGTCAATTCATTGCCTCTTAATATCTTCCAAACCCGAACCCCTGGTTTCCTCATTTTAGGGTTACCGAGCGTGGCTCGATTTGTCCATACTCATAGTTTTGACAT